TGGTCTCCTGCTTCTTCTATTTTTAATATTAGTCTTTTTCTCATGGAATACAGGTTTAAAGACAGGGTATAAAAGAGGGCTGAAAAAACTAAAATAGCGTAAGGCCTCATTAGCAGCTGAAATCTGGTGCAATTCTGCTCAGGTAGTCAGGCTAAGCCTTGTAGCTGGAAAATGCCTTCTCAACCCTGGCTGTGCCAGCCCTGTTTGAAACTCTGGATGTATGGGCTGCCCTTGATGCCCGCAGAGGGGATTCGTCAGGTGAAAAGAGGTAGCTACAATGTAGATGCCTACATCTGAGCAGGGGTCTGAGGTCAGAGAAGAGATGCGAGTATTTTAGCCTGCAACTTATTGAATTCCAAAGCAGCCATCTAAAATAAGTTGGATGAATTGTTCCTGAAAAGTGCCTATTTCTTTCCAGTGATCGTACAGGGAGGCTGCGCTAATTAGCCTTCACGTAGGACCATCTACTGTGTAAACATCTCAGGTTTGATGTGCTGGGTCCCATCTCAGACATCTGTCCCACCTGCCTCGCACCTGGACCACCGCCGGTGCACGGAGAGCTGTCTTCCTTCGGGTCAAGGGAAGCAATGACACGTGTGAGGTTTGCAGTCCGTGTTTCAGTGCTGCTCTCTTATTTAAGGCCACTTTGTTCTGTAGTAACTGTGGTAACCTGGCAAAACATCTGGCCCCAATGTTGAAAGTCCCGAGCCCCCCCAGCTCCCATGCTGACTTCAGCTTAGGCAGTAGGTATGAACACATGCCAGACGTTGCTGGACACAGGCATTCCTTTGTGGGAATACTGCCGGGCCATGGATACAGACTCTGCCCCACGGTGTATTTGAATATTGAGGATTTATTTCACATTTTTTCCATGCCTTTCTGGAAGAAAAGCCTTCCCGCATGAGAGATGTTCTGATTTAGTGTGACGACTTCTGCAGTGAGTTGTCACTGTTGAGCTGGTGGAGCTGCCCTGAGAACACATATATTCCTTCCTGGGAAAAGATCCACCACTGAAGTCAATTTTATTTGCTGAGCTTGTTCATATAAATTAACAGCATGACAAACATCCAGAAGATAAAGAGATCAGACCCATGCTGGTGGTTCCCTAGCTAAGGATTGCTAATCCCACAAGGCCATTGTTTGAGGATGAGAATTCACTGGGAAGCCTGGCCAACCTTGCTTTCCACGAACAAACAGCTTGTCTGTGCTCTGCTCCTCTCTTACCTCAAAGATTTACACAAAGGCAGTAACTTTGCCTTCCTTCTCTCACCTGTGAGTCCCAGTAAAATGCTTCCTTCCCTGCCAAAAGTATAACATTTAACTGAACCCCTGCTAGCTCTGTTTTCCTCTGAGCTCCTTGCTGCCAGGGTCTCCCCACTTCACTCAGGTTCCTGCCATTTGCCGTAGAGCTCATTTTGTGACGTACAATTTCCCTGTCCTCTTCTGGTCTCAAAACACTTGTGTAAAATCAACTAGTCAAGCAATCCTTCCTTCCTTCATCCCCATCCTTTGCTTCTCTCAGACTTTAGCTGTGACTCTCTTCTGACTTGGTTTATCTGCACTGCAAACCCTCTGAGGCAGCGAATGAGTTTCACCAACAACTGAGCGACCAGGGCTTTAGAAAGTCACCCGGGGAAGCTAATTCTAAGATGAGAACTAATACCACTCCCATCCTCCAGATATCCCACCTCCCCTGCGAGACACATGGCACTCCCTCTTGCTTTCATGTATGGCTTTAAAGCTACATAAACGGATATTAGCAGAGACTCATAAAATAATATTGCACAAGAATAGCCATGGGGCAGTTCACAGCTGCCCAAGCAGTTCTGATTGCTTCCTAGATTCCTATGTTGTTCTCAGTGGAGAGCTTCCAAAGAAGCACTAGATGACAACCTGAAGACAGAGAGGCTTCAGTTAGCTGGGCAAACGCACAAGGGCAGAAGCAATTTCTTCTGAACTAATGCTAAGAACTTCCTTATAAAGTCCTCCTTTGACACAGTGCTGTGAAATTTTTGGTCTTTGATTACAGAAGAGAGTAAAGACACTGGACATCAATGTTCAACAATGTCAAACCCCAAGGAAACGTGTGTCAAAAGATGAAGCTTCAGCAGTGCTGCAGAGATTTAAATAAGGGAGGAGAATTTCGCACTGCAAAGCTTGTGAATCTTCCTATTTTCAGTACGGTTCTTCCAAGAAGCCTTTGCTTAAAAAGGCATGCTTTCCTTTAAATGTACTTTTAGAGCAATCTAAAAACTACAGCATCTTTGATGGGCATGCTGCCCATCAACATTGCTGCAGGCACGTTAAGGGTAACACAGATTTGATGGTCATATAAAAGGTGAAAATGGTTCCTCTGTAGCTTCTCCTCTTCACAAACTACCATTTACAATTCTTGCCTGAAGCTTAATGTCTTCAGTAGTTACCCCATGTGCTTGAATTGTACGTTTATGTCGACTAGAGAGAAAAACCCACATGATTACTAAATCCTGATACAGTAAACAGATTTCTCTGTAATGAACATCTGGCACATCCAGTTACTTGCAGTACTATCCCCCCAATTAGGACCCCCAGCACCATGCTAAGCTTTCACAGCTGCAGTGCTTGGGACAGAAAATTCAAGAAAGGTATTTGCGAACACAGGCAAACCTTTACCAATGGTATAGTAGATGTCACAGCCACCCAGTCCCTCAAAAATTAACGCATTTGTAATTAGGCATGGTACAGCATTAGTTATCTCTGCTTTCCATCTCATGGCAGTAGAGGAGAGGGAGAATTCTGTTTGTGCTATGGATGACTCTGTAAGATGCTGTGCACCCCCAGATTATGAAAGTACAACCCCATCTGTGGGTGGGTCCTTTCACAACCATTCCTTCAGCCCTTGCTTTAGTTCCCAAGCCAGAACTGAAACTGCTGGTAACAGATACCTGGGGATTTTCCAACTCCAGCCAGCTGGCTGGAGTCGATTTCTTCTCCAATTGCCTTCTGCTCAGATCAGATTTGGGGATGGACATGGGAACTCTCTAAGTGTTGAGGAACTTTTTCAACTTCTTGCCAGCATCTGACATCCACGGGGGAAGAAAACCAGTAGAAAAGCCATGGTAAGTTAATGCCCATTCCTAACTCTTGAGGCATCTGGCCTTCCCGTCCAATTCAGATTGTAACTCACTGTGACAATCCACGCTTTACCACCACAAATAGGAGTATAAGCCCATAGTCAGTCTGGTTTTCACTTTTCAGACATTGAATGCTGACTTCTCCCCCTATGGATTTTCCCTATGGATTACGATTCCGGAACAGGAGAGGTCATTCATTTACTAAGTGTTATACGGATCCATAATCCTAAGATGTCTCTTGGCTAAGATCCTGCTAGAATGACTTGCCTCCCCTGTGCTGCCAACTTTCATAAAACAATGCAGATGGCAATATTTATGCTCGTTGAGTGGTCTTTGAAATGAATATGAGAGAGGCTCAGTAGCACCGGCTTTCACACATTTAGCAGTTCCACTCCTAAAATCTGCACTAAGCTCTTCTTCAGTCACAGCTTCCCCTGCTTCCCGTGGGATCCCTGCTCTAGCAGGGATCCTCAATTTAGCCCCTAGGCAAGATGCTTGATAACAGAGCTGCTGTGTTCTTAATGAGTTTGTTTTATTTTTGTGAATTTGCCTAAAAGTCTAATGCTTTTGCAGAAGAGCACCAATAGTTTTGTGTGGTTCTAAGCGCAGGTGGATCTGAATCATGTACACTGGAATTGTTAGGCTCTGGATCTACCCTTATAGTTTGAAGCACCTGAAATGTACACTAAGGTCTTCTCTTGGGAGACAGAGCAGGCCAGCTCTGGAGTCACTGGGCTTTGCTCAGCCTTGATTTGTCCTAAGATCTATCCACCACTAAATATGTGGACATAACAGAACAAAGAGTCTCTTCTCTTGAGAAGCCTCCCTTGTAATTGAAGTTAAACGAATGACAATCACTATGTGGGGGAAAAAAAAAAAAAAAAAAGCTTCACTCAGGGGAAGAAACTGAAAAGTAGGTCTTCATTTTTTGTGGGTACTATGGAATGAATGAGAGTGATGTCAGATGTAATATAACACTGGAGTGGAAAGGCTAACAGAAAAAGACACAGCAACACTGCACTGGCTAGTCCTAGACATGAGCTATCCATTAAAAGTAAGTCAAAACCCTCAACTTAATTTTGTGCATATGCCATCTCAGCCCCCGGCCTCTCTCTGGGTGTTTTAAAGCTGCAAGAGCAAATTTGCCTTCTTAGAAAATATCTCCCTTGGAGGCAAAGACACTGTGTACACAAGAGCACCGGCGGCTTCTAATGGCTTCCAAACACTAACAGCTCCTTGCAAAATTCCCAGATGAAGAGAAATTCTCCCAAACCGCTGTAACCTTCATCAAAATCTTTCTAGTCTGGTCCAAGCCTATGAGTGTGTTCTGTGCCCGCGCAGAAGCCAGCTGGCTGCCATAAAATGCCATCATTTGCTGTTTGCGGGTAATTCGTTACACTGTTACGTGGTTGAGTCCAGAAGGCAAATCTGACAGAGCTGTACCGGGATTAATTTGGCCCCTGACATAATGCACACCCCGGGCACAATCCAGAGGAAACGGATGGTTTGCCGGTAAGGAAGCGAGTGTTTTCCCTCCAGGTGGCTGGCTCAGGTTGGTTATCCTGGCAGAAAGAGGTCTTTGTTCTGCAGCCCTACCCGGCTTGGACTTTCCAGGAGTTCAAAAACTCAAATAAAACCGTAAAGACATAACGTCTGATCTTGCCCTCCTAGAAGGTTCCTCTGTGGGCAGCTATGGGTGTTCGTGTGGCTACTACTTGTTTACGCTTGTGTGAGAAGAGTTTTCAAAGCCAAAGAGCTCAAAAGAAACCTCTGTAAGAGTGTTTGTTTGTCCACAGGTGTTTCTACAACGTGAGAAACCAACAGTCTTGTTTCCTGGCCCCTGGGGAACAGGTCATCCATAGCTGTATCCCACGGGAAGGCACTTACCTGACACAAAAGTACAAAACAACCGGTCCTGACTTTTTGGGGAAGTCATGTTCCAGCACCCGGCGGTCCAGCTGAAGCCAGTTCAAGTGTCCCCTGGCAAGAGAAGAGACAGTTTTGAGCCCGGCACTGAGGAGTTTTTTCTCGCTACTCGTCTGAGGTGTTACAAAAGCTGAAGCGAAGCACATGCTGCTTGCCCTGGGCTATTGCATGGTATTTGAAAAACACACAGTAGATGTTTGAGGAGAAGCGGAGGCGATATCGTCCTGGCAACATTTCAGTCTGGGGATCGAACAGCTAAAGTTCAATCTGTCAGGGTGAAAGCTGGCAGCCCCGACCAGGCAGCAGAGCCCAAAGTGTTATGAGCTTCACCTTGTTATTACAACCCCCCAGGAGCAGCCGTATCATTAAAAGTCTGTCAAGATTTTCATTAGAAATCCTCATTGTGAAGAGTTTCCACAACGCCTGCAATATTTCACTCCAGGCTAAACCCGACTCTGCAGCCTCAGACAGTTTATTTACCACCCACGTGCCTGCAACAGCCTCTCTAGGTTTGCCCAAGCCTTCGTTTTCCCTCCTTCAGAGAGCTCCTGAAAAGCAGCTGCTCCGTGAAGCGTTCCAGCTCACAATTACCACACGCTGCTTTTTTTTTTTTTTTTTTGCCTAGGTGGTACCTGTCGCTCTTATTTTCTCCTATAATTTATCCGTTCGTGCCTTGCTGCTGGAAGCTTTCCTGGGCAGGAGCTCTGTTCTTTGTCACGTTCCTCGCGTCGTAGAGCGCTGCGCGCGCGTGAGAGGTATTTTATAAACACCATTATTTGTATTGCAGGGGCATCTCACTACCACCACCCCCCCGCTGAGATAAAGGCCCTGTTAAATTAGGCACTGTGGAAATACACAGGGTAAAATTCAGCGAGGATTTTGCCGTTGCCTTGGGTGATGCCAGGGCTGCATCCTGTGAGCGTTTTGCTATTGATTTCAGCCAGACCAGATTTCACCCAGAGGGAGAGGCAGCCCTTGCCTTCAGCGCTCCGCTGTCTAGACAAGCGAAGAGAGAGAGAATTGAAGTGATTTTTTTGGGGGGTGGGGGAATCTTGCAGCAAATAGAGCAGGAAATGGAACTCAGATGTCCCAAGCTCTGTTCCAGTGCCTATTAGCCAGCTCATGCTAATCCTCAAGAATAATTCTTTATTCTACTGAAAATGAAAAAAAAAAAAAGAAGGCTTGGTTTAAAAAAAAGTGTTAAATTAACTTCTAGCGTTGCCACAAGCCTTAGCAATGTACTCTGTCAGCAAACACAGTCCGGGTCTGCCTGTTACTCCTTAGTGCTTGTGCTTTAGGCAATTGAGAAGCTCCTTTAGAAAGTAAGCAACAACATCTAGTCAGCAATCTCACCGGATTTGTAGCTCCCCTACTCCACCTTTTCTAGAAAAATAAATAAAGGGGAAAGAAGAGGTTTCAGGAGGCTTTGAATCACCTGGGCTCAATCTGAATTTCTGAACAGCTGCCCTGGCTTATGCAGATGCAGAAGAGAATGGGCTGCTGATGGACTGGCAATCCGCTCATCACTCCAGTGGGTTCAGGATCAGACATTTCTAAAGAAGCCATCTCACCTCAGATTTTGCCATATAATAGTCAGGTGTTCACTGTAAGTGGCCTTTGCATTTATTTTGCAAGAGTACCAAGTCACAGAATCACAGAATGACATGGGGTTGGAAGGGACCTCTGGAGATCATCTAGTCCAACTCCCCTGCCAAAGCAGGTCCACCTAGAGCAGGCTGGGCAGGAACGTGTCCAGGTGGATTTTGAATGTCTCCAGAGAAGGAGACTCCACCACCTCCCTGGGCAGTCTATTCCAGGGCTCTGCCACCCTTAAAGTAAAGAAGTTCCTCCTCATGTTTAGTCTCAACTAGGTACAAGTGATACAGGTGGAGTAAGGGACATTTCAAACTCATCCTAGACATCCTTTGGTGTACAAAATAGATAAAAACTTTTTTTATCCCCTGCTCTAGACACCTGGGTGCATCTCCCTTTTTGAAATCTGTCTTTTTTCCTATTTTTCTTTTTGTCCTAAATCATAGAATCATAGAATGGTTAGAGTTGGAAGGGACCTTAAAGATCATCTAGTTCCAACCCCCCTGCCAGGGGCAGGGACACCTCCCACCAGACCAGGTTGCTCAAAGCCCCATCCAGCCTGGCCTTGACCCCCTCCAGGGATGGGGCATCCACAGCTTCTCTGGGCAACCAGGGCCAGTGCTTCACCACCCTCACAGTAAAGTATTTCTTCCTAATATCTAATCTAAATCTCTCTTCTTCCAACTTAAAGCCATTACCCCTTGTCCTGCCACTACACTTCCTGACAAAGGGTCCCTCTCCGGCTCTCCTGTAGCTCCCTGGACTCAGGAAGGCTGAAATTCACTGTGAACACCACAGTACGCATGGGGATTGAAATCAGACATGCTCGCCCATTCCTAGCTAAAGTACAAAACGAACATTTATCCATGTAGGCCAAGGTACAAAACACTGTCAGAGCAAGGGAAAGCCCCGCTAAGCCTGATATCTTATCCTGAACCTGTCCAGCTCCATTTGTATCACCAAAGGAGCAGCCACCAGCACCTGATGGCATTACACACCCCTTCCCACCCCGACCCATCTGTTGTCAGTGGACTTACTGTCTACCTCTATGTTTATTCAACAGAAAAATTTGGGTTTGCCTAACGAAGGACTGAGAAGCCATGGCGCACAGAACAATAATTCACTTCAAGATACTTCTTAGTTTGAAAAGACTCACTCTTTTCCTTCTCACTGCATTTTAACTCAAGAAACCGGTTGATATAACCAGTGCAGAAAGAATACATGCATATATGTATGCAGACCACATTACACATTTATGTCGTTCGTGTACACGGGTGTGAGGAGTGAATAACACATTTAATTGCCACTGAGGTTTTTTTTTTTTGGGTTGAAGAGTTTCATTACTCTCATCTGCATGGAGCTTAAATCCGAAGCTCCTTCAGAGGAGGAAGGTCACTTAAATCACTGCCAGGAGCTAACTGCTCACCGTACTCAATTACCACTTACAATCTTTCATCGCTGAGGGCTTCTGCGCTGCAGATTGTCACCTCCCTCCTTGTTCCCAGGCGTGCATGTGTGGCACGTAGTGATCAGTGGCAGTGAAGAGTCACTGGCATCCGCCTGTGAATGTGGTCTATCGGGGAGCCAAGCTCCAGTGCCGTGACACCACAAAACTCTTTGCTCTGGAAACCCTCTTGCTGTCTTCAGCAGAACTATTTGTGGAGCACAATCCCATGTAAGACAGGGGAAAGTATGGGCATATAACCCCAGGCATGTAGTAATCCTGACAGTTTGCATGGACCGATTTAGGCAGCTTGCACTGGGATCCCATTCATACATGCCCATATCTGGCTGAATTTCCTTCACGGTTCAATTTAGAGACACAAAGTAGCTTTTGTTTCATTGTCGCCATCGATTTGGGTATTTATATCAGCGTTTTCACAAATAGCGGTGCAAACAATTTTGTGTGACCTATGGGGAGGTTGAGTATCGGAAGTCAGATCATTTTTCTCTGTTGGTTGTGGTCATGCTGGCAGTTAAACTGTTGTGTCAATAACAAATACATAATCACCTTTTGAAAAAGAAACTGGGTCCATTTAGTTTACAGGCTGAGTATGGATTTTGGTGCCCAGGGTTCATATTGTTGATTGCATGCAGTAGTTCTGTTTTCTTTTGTCAGGGCTTTCAGTAAAGAGTGGTACATCAATGAATACTTTGCCTCCAGGTGGTTCTGTTTATACAGTTTTACTGGTGAGTGTCCAGTTTTCTGGAAAAGTGGATCCACATTGATTGTGTTATAAAGTTATTTGGACCAATAAACCAACTCTCGCCCCTTCAGCGTCAAACTCACGTTGAATTGAATGGACATTGAGAAAGACCAGTTCATGTAATAGAAACCATATAAACTATTTTACATTTCCATCAGTCATGATAGAAACAAAAAAACCTGTTTAAGCTCATGGATTTTCTTGTTTAAGGTCTCAATTCTTCAACAGAAATATTTCTGAAGGGGCTGCATGAGTTTGGCTATGCAGATTTTGCAAAACAGTGGACTCGGTGACAAAGGAGCTGGTCTCACGCCAGAGCAGGACCTTGTTCTGAGAGCTGCACCGTCCATTGGACTGGCTGTTCAACCAGGACGTGGGACACATGGTCCCTCCTTTTGGCTCTGCCAAATGACTGCAGGGTGAAAATAGGTCTCCCCTCACTTCCTGGAGATGAGAGAGGATTCCAGGGAAGAATGGTAGGTACCCTGCTGTCCCTCTTCTCCTACTCTTCCTTTGCCATCACCTTGGCTGTAGAATCCTGAGCTAAGCAAGGACACTCTCTGTCATTGCCTTACCACTTTAGTACAGTCTCTAGAACAAGTGTAACACAAATAATGGGGACCTCAATCCCTTGCAATTTTTATTCTATATGTTAACTAGAAGCAGCTGAAGAAGCTGCTCTGCAGGTTCTGCTCTGGCAAAGGAGGAAAAGGGTTTGGGTCAGCTTTGGGTTGGGCTCACGGAGAGCTGTGGGATGCAAAAGTTGGTAGTTCTCCATGGAGCAGGTGACTCACATCTAAGGACAAGTAAAGGATGTGGAAAACCTGCCTGTGGCCCAGACGGGGCGTCTGCAGTGAACAGAAGGGTAATCCTGAACTGCTTGCTCTCAGTGAATGCTGGAAGAGCTGATGCCAAGTGAAAGGGCAGTTAGCAGAGATTCATATTGAGCTAAACTAATAAAAAAAGGCCATTTCTCCACTCCTTTTCACTGTTAATCAACCAGCATATAGCTCTTCTGGCTTCACGTGAAGCTTGGCCCCACGTGCTGTACAGGGACACCCTTTTGACCTGTGCTCTCCTGCAGTTAATGGCTCACGCCGTAAAGCGTTCCTATCATCATTAAAATAGGAGGCGTTATTCTCTCCTCCATAATAGTCTGACAATCTAATTTTAGTCACGCTGAATGCAGTAATGACCCTATATTATCACGAGAAACTATTAGGTCTCCAACGCAAAGGTTGTTCCTATTGATTTTCTTCTCAGGTTGTCATGATAGAGCACAACTAATGAATGGAAATCCCCAGTTCAAATCATTTCTAAATAAATTACTCTCATAGAGCTTTTACTCTTAAATAGAAGAATTGATTTAATACTTTAGTGGCTTTTCTTCTTTCTAAACTTGCAATTTAGCCAACCCCAGACTACATTTATGAGCCAGGCTTGTTCTGTTTTAGCTAATATGAGTTCCCTTCAAGTAAGGCACATGGAACTCAGGGAAGAGCGAAGAGAAAGAAATCCCTGAGGGCTTGTATCACGGAATTAAAGGGTTTCTTTTTGTGTGCCTTGTCTGTGCTAGCTATAGGGCTGTTAGACGCTCTGTAAACATACATTAAGAGACTGATTTTCCTATTTTTTGAAGAAAGGATACTTTTCAAGCTTCCATTTCACACTGCAAGTTAAGATCTGTAGTACAAAAAGCCCAGATTTTTTTCTGAAGGTGACATAGGACATCTATTTCCAAGACCCCATCCAGCTCCCCAGGTGCATTTTTTTGGCTGTTTTTGGTCAAATAGAACGATTACTGTCTGTGCCAACTCTATTCAGAGCTTTTTGCAACCGAGGAGGAAATATGATACAAGTATCTTTTTTGGCCAGGTTATTTTCACAGCATTGAAGAAGCCTCAGTGCAAGGGTCAGACTCACTGTGGGACAGCAGATCAAGCTTCATGTCAGCTGGGACTCACTGGCACGTTTCTGGGTCCTGTTTACTAGATTTAATGAAAGTTCCCAAATCTTTTGTCTGAGTTGGCTGGACTCCTGCTACAATGCACCCTGCTCCATCTTGACCACAGGTCAAGAAGGTGACCAAGCGAGTGGGTGCCATCACCTCAGCCTTTGAAATCCCGTCTAGACAGTGCACGTCCATCTGCATCCCCTGTGCATCTTTGAGCCTCTGTCAGCCTCTCCTGCTTCCTCCCATGGCTAAGCCAGATCTTTGCTCATGCTGCTCTGTGTTAAACCTGGAAGCCCCAGGGGAGGCTGGGCTCTCTCTAATTGCTGACACCTCCTCATTAGCTTCCCTTGCACTCCCAGGGGAGCCCTGTGCCCACTCAGCTGAGCTGAGAGCCAGAGCTGCTCGGCTGCTCTCTGGTTGGGGTCTGACGTGTGTTTTTTGTTTTTAACCTGTGCTGTTTAGGACTGTTAAGGGAACATTTTCTTCTCCTATTCCACTTCGGCTTCCCTGCGTGGCTTCCCTGCACCCCTCAGGCAGCACCCACTGGGTAACTTGCTCTCTCCCATAAGAAATAACACCCTAGTAAAGACTAATTTCCTCCTCACTTCATAAGTTGTCAGTGCCTCCCCCTGCCCCCTCTTTGAGGACCAGCCTCATTAATTTGTGTTGGATTGGAGATTTCCTACAGGGCTGAGCTGCTCGTGCCAGTGAGATGGGATGGGTTCTGGGCTCTCCTCTGATTTGGGTCCTGCTTCTGCACGTGCCTGACATCGAGCATCCTTCCACCCTGGGAGCTGTGTCCCGAATTGGCCTCTGGCTGACCAAGGCAGCCGCTTGCCAAAGGAACTGTCTCTGGAGAGGCGAATGCTGCTGAGTTGAATGTGGATATGTTAGTGCAATTATCCAGCAGCCTCTGATTACCCAATCCTGAATCATTACTCCAGCAGATAATTTACATTTCGCTGCCACTTCAGCAGGAGAGCAGAGCTGGCTCATGACAGCAATACTGCTGACTCAGCTGTTCTGGGAATATGGCATTGGCTTGAAAATTGTGGGTTTTTAAAACAGTATAGGTGTGGGAAAACTCTTCCTAATCACAAAAAAACCCTTTAGCAAACCAAGGTGGAGTATGGTGAGTGCAGATACAGGACACAGTCCATATGCCCAGGACAGTCTGACCACTGACAGAAAAGAGGCAGCTGGAAAAAAGTTAGCAGGGACTGAGCAGTAGCACCAAGAGGTCACAGTCTAGGACTAATCATAGCATTTGACAGACCTTTAATGTTTCTCCAGGGGTAATTTTATACTTGCCTTTTAAGCAGGGGGAATAGAATTGGCCTGTCTTGAGACAAACCCTCAAATTTTGTGGTCATACTAGGACTCTGGGAGCTGGGGTTCAAAGCGAACAACCAGCCTTGCCTGAGGTGACTGCAGTGTCAGGGTCCCATCCTTTGGTTTAGCTCAGCCATAAGGCTCTTCCATGATTCCTGGTAAGGTCAAATCCGTTCCACAGTGGAAATTTTATATTTAAAAATGTTTTCTGTTCAGATTAAATTTGGCAGTATCTTCCTTTCCCACACTTTCTTCTTTCCCCTTTCTTAAGAAACTCTAATCTGGGATCTAAAACATCAGAAATAATAGAGTAATTTTGTGATTTTTTTTTTTTTCTTTCCTTGAAATAATTTGACATTACTTTTAAGCCTGCTTGAGTGAATAAACTGATTAACACTTTAATTGAACAGTTCCGCCAATCTGGTAATAATTTGGATCTAGTGAGTGGATCGTAAACCCATCAGAGCTTAAGCTAACCTTTCACCAGTGCCAAGTGACACCAACTCTTTGAACATGGGATTAGGAGGGGATTGCTACTCCCTCCAGCAATGCTTAACTTGCTGTGAGAGGCCTCCAGCCCTCTGAAGAAGAGGCAGTGCAGGACAGACTCCAATGTGAGTCCATGCCTCCCTAGACCTAGGTATAGGACCTTGAGGTACCCAGGTCTTCTACGCTGGTCATTTTGCTTGGGACAAAACCACCAAGATTTCTTGTGATCTATGAGTTGCCTCTCAGTTCTTGGATTTCTCACACTTACGTTTCATCTGTGAATGCAATTCCAAAGTACTCCTTCTCCTTCAGGTTGAAATGAGATGCCACCAAGTCAAGCAACTCCTTGGCCAAAAGCTTTGGCTGGAAAACAAGAATGAAAGAAAGTGATTAATGAGGAGAGCTTGGATATAACTGCACTCTGTTTCTGGAGGGAAATGCTGTCCTTGAAGGTGCTCCACTGCTGTGGCTTTTATGTTCCCTCTGGTGTTCAAGCTAAATCTGCAGGCAACATGAGCTCCTTGAAATGAACAGTAGTTTCCCTCCGAGGTAAATACTAAAAACCTGGCGATTTTGACCTCTTCAGTGCTTAATGTCTCTGCAGACAAATGACCTGCCTCCTGCCAGTGTTCAGATCTACCATGACCAATTCACTCATGCCTTTCTGATAATTTTAGTTGTTAAAGCATTTTATCAAGGACCTTTGCAAACACATTTCAGACACCCACTCTCACACACACAACACAGATACATGCTCAGAACACTAAGAAAATACATAGTGTCAAAAAGATAGGATGTGACAGGACCAAATGAGAAATAAATGACAGAAAAAATAGTTTCCCATTCACTGTGCCTTGTTATTTAGGGATAAGGATGTGTCCTCAAATTTAGGCACTTGGAAAGAAAGAGAGGAAAGTAACACACATTTTCAAAATACCCTTTGTAAGAGCAGAAAAGCCAAGCTCAGAGAAGCTGTTCACCACATACAGAGGATGGTGCATTAGTACCATGGGGAAATTCTGCCTTTTCTGCAAAACCTTATTTGACTTTTAGGTCTAATGCTTCCTTCTCCCTGTCTGAATTTCCACCAGCTCTGCTAAAGTCCAGTGTTTCCTACTGTCCTGCTGAAGTCTTGGCCATAACAGTGCTCTCGTCCTGACTATCCCTGGTAGGAAACAGGGGGTACAAAGGACCCAGGCAGATGCAGCCTGTGATCCCACAGCCTGTAATAGCCCCCATATCCCAGAGCTGCAATGGTTACAGCAGCACAGCTGGGGTCAGAGATCCCAACAGTGTTCCCCTGGTGACTGCTCGTAAGGATTTGGTCTACAGATCTCTGCTGCAAGCCTCAGTGAAAATAAAGCTGTCTGTAGGCTCGACTGCGCCAACGAATCTGCCAAGCAGCTGAGTCAGTTACCCCAGACGTGAACCTGTTGTTAAATGGAGATGAAATGATGGGGCTGTGCAGAAGGTGGGTGGTGGGGACCCAAGAACCTTGCTGTCCTAATTGAATATCCTGTCCTGCAAATACAAACACAGCTTGTGTTTACAAAACCCCTTGGTTTGTATCTAATTTCCGAATAGATTCATAAGATTCTCAACTGCTCCCTAAAAATGGTCCTAAACCCAGCACTGTCCTGGTACCTGACACAGTCGAGCCTGAAATGCTTCCCTGGCCTTCATGTGGGCATTAATGCCATCCTCCACCCACCCGTTTGCTTGCTACGTCCCAATGCAGTCACCAGCAACATCCGTTCTGCTCCTTATCTGTGCACCCAACACAAGGGTGGTTTTCAGGTCATGCCAGCAAAGAAAGAAGCAACAGCCGTGCCAAAATGCAGCAGTAGCTTAAAGCAGACACCGAATACGAGATGAGTTGCTGTGTAGGAGGAAGAACCTGGCAGATAACGAATAGGTGGGATGCAACAAGCTTCATTTTATTTCCCAAGTCGGACTTCTCAGGCACAACTGTTGACAGCTTTGCTAGGTCTATGCTACCTGCTGCATTGCCTTTCCCAGGCTCCTGAACCAGCTCCCGAACGGCACTCAGAGCTGAGCAGACCAGGTGTGGGACCGTGGTCATGTCCTCTGTCCCCTTGAGTCCCTTCAGGGACCCAAGTAAAGAGCACACCAGCTACACCAGTCTCTCTCTGGAGACTCCTCAGATACTTCTCTCCTGGCATTGTGCTGGTGGGATGGACATTCTCAGCATCCCTGTCTCTGTAAGATGAATCTCCCTTTGCCAGAGCTTTTTAAGGACAAGCTACAGTCTGGCTTATGAGGTACCCACACACTGTGATGAATCATAGAATAGTTTGGGTTGGAAGGGATATTTAAAGGTCATCTAGTCCAACTCTCCTGCAATGAGCAGGGACATCTTCAACTACATTAGGTTGCTCAGAGCCCCATCCAACCTGGCCTTGGATGTTTCCAGGGATGGGGCACCTACTACCTCTCTGGGCAGCCTGTGCCAGTGTTAAGAGGAATGGAAGGAGAGGGTGGTAAGACTGGCACATGAATTCAGAGATACATAGGCTCTGTGCATGCACTTACTGTGGGCATTGGATGAGTTTTCAGTTTAACAGCAGACAAACAAACTTTTGAAGGAGAGAGAGGAAGGGGGTTTTGTGCCCATCAGCCCACAGTTTGAAGGCTTGCTTTTCCCTCACTCCTGCCCAAGCCTCCGTGCTCCTTTCTCTCCTGCTCAGGCCAAACTCTCTCTGCACCAGAAAGGGATTAATCCCAGCGCACCACCACCAGAAGAGGGGAGTCGGGGATGCATGGCCAGTGATGGGTGTAGGGGAGGGCAGGACAGACCCCTTTGTGGCCAAGGCCACTGGTGGGGGCAGATGGTGGAGGTGAATCTGGGCATCCCCATGATGGTGTGCATTGCAGGCACGGCTGCATGACTGGCACTGCCTTGCTTCCTCTGCTCTGGGGTGACTCAGTTATTCGATGAATGAGCAATTATGCTGGCAAGCAAGGAAGCAGGACATCAGCCAGCCTTGCTGGGTGTCCTACCTGAGAGGGCAAGGGTGGGGAAGGTGCTGTGCCTCAAGCACAGAAGCATTTTCCCAAGCCTGTGTCAAACACTCGGAGGGGATAGGTTGAGCTTTCATATCTCGTGAGAAAGGAGAATGGAGTAATAATACATGGCTAATGTGAAACAGATTGCCCATGGACGTGGGGAAGTGAAGGGTCCCTCAGCTGCAGCCAGCCAGCACTGTCACAAGGAGTAAAAGCCCCTTCTGGTGTCCAGCCACACCACGGAACAGTGATAACCAGTGATGAGGGGCCTGGAGCATCTCCCTTACAAGGAGAGGCTGAGGGACTTGGGTCTTTTTAGTCTGGAGAAGAGAAGACTGAGGTGGGATCTGATCAATGCTCATAAATACTTAAAGGGAGGGTGTCAAGAAGATGGGGCCAGTCTTTTTTCAGTGGTGCCCAGGGATAGGACAAGAGGAAATGGGCACAAACTTGACTATAAGAAGTTCCACCTGAACATGAGGAGGAACTTCTTCCCGTTGAGGGTGGCAGAGCCCTGGAATAAGTTGCCCAGAGAGGTGGTGGAGTCTCCTTCTCTGGAGACATTCAAAACCCGCCTGGAGATGTTCCTATGCAACCTGCTTGGGGTGGACGTGCTCTGACAGGGGGGTTGGACTAGATGATCTCCAGAGGTCCCTTCCAACCCCATGTGATTCTGTGATTGCCCTGCAGCATCCAGCCCCAGGCATCGAGTGAGGAGCAGCACCCGAAAGCAGTTGCCTTCTGCCACCCTCCCCAGGCAAGGTGGCTGAACACAACGTGTTGCCTCCTTATCTCCGCTGAGCGAGACCTGGCTGCTGAGAAAGCTGTGGAGAGGTTGTTGGCATGGCGTGACAGCCTTCCCTTCTCTACTGCCCGGCAGTGGCTGCTCCTCTCCCAGCACAGCCTCCCCCTTCAGCCCCCCAGGGCTTGGCAGGGCCATGATCTCCACTGCCCTTGCCGTGGGGCCTCCTGCAAAGCCTGTGGGAGCAGATAAGGCAGGATAACCCTTTGCCTTGCAAGATAAGGGGAAAGAACAATAGATGCAGACCCAGCACGCTGGAGCATTGCCAGGTTAGTTACTGGGCCAGCGTCCCTGAAGAGGCTTACTGCGGTGAAGTTAAGCCCTGCTAGTCCCCTCCAAGATTACTCCTCTTAAGCTCTGCAAGGTTATTGTACTTTCCAGCAGGACGAGTCCCGTGTTCTCCCAACACAAGACCAGGGGCAACCTCGGTCTTGGGATGGAGGGAAGGAGGAAGGTGGTAGCAAAGAAGTCCTCAAACCTGCACAGTGGCGATAAGGGCAGGAAAAGTCCCCTCGAGCACGAGCCGAGCTGCAGCCCCGTCTGGGTGTCTCGGGAGAGACCCACGGGCTCACAGTTACCCGTTAATCTGCTTGCCACTCGCGATGGGAACGGCTGAGCAATGACCTCCTTTCATGTGAGCCGCGCAGACAAAGAGCTCATTAGCGATGCCTGTGGCAAGTTGTTTTAATTCATTATTAATTTCTGGACTTCATTTACCAGAGGGATATTCATTTTGCATTAATAAAACTTCCGTCAGAGACACGTTGAAGAAGATGGGGGCTGGTCTCTGGGAGCAGGGAAATCAATAGAAAGCAGGGGCCCAGGACCTTCTGCATCCAACGTAGCGAGAAGGTCAGCAGACTAGCTTGGGAATCCCTCCTGCATAAATCAGGAATAGCAGGTGGCATTCCAAAGTGAAACTGCACTGTGTCCTCAATGCTGCACAGCTGGACCACAGCTCACCGTGAGCTGCCCAGACAGCTGCTGAGACCCCTCTGCATCTCCTGCTCTTCATCTCCTGCTCCTCATCTCCTTCTCAGGGGTTGGTACTGGGACCAGTACTGTTCAGCGTCTTTGTTGGAGATATGGACAGTGGGATAGAGCACACCCTTAGCAAGTTTGCTGACAACACCAAGCTCAGTGGCGCAGTCGACACGCTGGAGGGAAGGGATGCCATCCAGAGGGATCTGGACAGGCTGGAGAGGTGGGGTTGTGCAAATCGCATGAAGTTTAACCAAGCCAAGTGCAGGCTCCTGCACCTAGGATGTGGCAATCCCAGGCATAAATAGAGGTTTGGCAGAGAATGGTTGGAGAGCAGCCCTGAGGAGAGGGACTTGGGAGTGCTCATGGATGAGAATCTCAACATGAGATGGCAGTGCGCACTGGCAACTCAGAAAGCCAACCGCATCCTGGGTTGCATCAAAAGAAGGGTGGCCAGCAGGTCATGGGAGGTGATTCTACCTACTCTGCGCTCGTGAGACCCCACCTGGAGTGCTGTGTCCAGCTTTGGAGTCCTCAACACAGGAAGGACATG